CTTTATCTAAATCTTACATAATGTCTCTTTAATATAACTATTATAGCAAGAATGGCTGGCTCTTTATCTAAATCTTACATAATGTCTCTTTAATATAACTATTATAGCAAGAATGGCTGGCTCTTTATCTAAATCTAACATAATGTATCTTTAATATAACTATTATAGCAAGAATGGCTGGCTCTTTATCTAAATCTTACATAATGTCTCTTTAATATAACTATTATAGCAAGAATGGCTAGCTCTTTATCTAAATCTTACATAATGTCTCTTTAATATAACTATTATAGCAAGAATGGCTGGCTCTTTATCTAAATCTTACATAATGTATCTTTAAATAATGCCTGATTATATCTATTTGAACAAAAAAACCTATTTAAAGCGAGAATTTCAAATTTTCTAAGAAAGTCAAAACATAATTATTTCTATGTCTTTTGCTCAATAGGTTATCAAATCACTATTATACGATCATGGGCATTATTTCCCACCCTTAAAAATCTATGACACAGGAAATAACAACACAATTGCCTCCCCTGTTTTGCTATTGACAACATGGGGCAGCCATTTTCCAACGCTGGAATTTGAAGTTAAAAATGATATTTTTGCCAATTTCTCAGCTGGCAATAGCGAATTATAAGATTAATAGGATTATTCTTTAACAAGGTAGGACTGTTTATGGATACCATCTATTTTAAGGCTTTATTTTAATACATTTTAAAAATATAACTTGAAAATTTGCAATTGCAACTTTAAATGCATCGTGTGTGGTCGTCAGCATGTTTAAAGATATCAGGATTATAAATGAATTAAATGGCTAACCAATATTTCAAATAATGACACCAGTGGCGACATCTGGTATTCAAATCTCAAAACTAATCAGGTAAAACATGCTCGGTGGAAAAATAATTTTACCTGTGTGAAATAAATGCAAATGGCGAAATGATAAATTCTTCAGAAGAAATAGACATGTTAAAATAATGAATGTAAAATTTAAGTGAAATGGGGTTTAAAGTCTCGTCAACACAATTTGTCGGCCATTTTGAGACTGAATGAAGAAAATAATGAAACGGAGTTTAGCGTTATAGTTTCCTCAAGACGGACATACGCCATAGTGTATGACCAGGAAAATTTTGCCTTTTCTTCGTCGAATTTCAAACGGAAACCGTTCTTTTATGCGCATGGCAACCGTTGATATTTTGTACATGACAACCTGTGACAACGTGTGGACTTGTAGTTTTTCGTCCGAAGAATTAGACGCGTTTGCTTTGACATTATTTAAAAAGAAAATATTATTTTTAATAAAATAGCTGCTGTATATCAAATGCGTTTTAAATTAGAAAGCTTGGCAATCCTTCAAGAAGCATTAAAATCGAGAATGAAAATCAAAAAGGCGCTATATAACGGCTGAATAGGGAGCGTACAACTTCTATCAGCAGAGGAGATGATTAAGAAAACCTGTGTTTAGATGTCAATTAGAACTTGTCTTGACAGATGTCCATCAACACCCAAACAACGTATATTTAACTAACGTGAAAATATTAATCTTAAAACATATGTTTTTCTGGGGTTTTTTTTTCTTATTATTTCAAAACATATTTCTGATTTACAGTATGTTAGATTTTCAAAGAGGATTCGGGATGCAATTCTAAACTCAGAATTGAAATGGCCGCGGATTTCTTTGACGACGTAAATAACTTCTCCGATAATTATTACTTGTCTGTTACGTCAGTAATTTTTAAAACCGTGTTGAACGTCACATTATATATTCTTCGTGTTGAAAATATTCAATTCGTGTGTTTTTTTTTGTTTTTTTTTTACTGTACTGCGAATTTATTTTTCGGCTCCCCAAAACAGTATTGTCATTTGCTTTTAGATAAACCACGCAAAAAACCAAAAAAAACCCCAAAAAACTTCAGAGTTTAGGATGTGTACATTTTTATCGATAATAAATCTCAGCAACAAGAGTGCACACTTTATTATTATATCCCAAGACAATACCATTAGATCACAAATAGTATAATACACTGTTACAGATGGTGACGTAAAATGCAAGTGGTTATTCGGGTGCTATTTGTAACAACATTCCGTGTTTTATGGTGTCACATTCAGTGCTTCATGGCGTCATATTTAGTATTTTATGACGTCACATTCCGTGTTTTATGACGTCACATTCCGTGCTTTATGACGTCACATTCCGTGTTTTTGAAAAGCTTCTAGTTACTCGGATGTGATGTAACACTTGATATTTGGAATTCTAGGAAGAAAATTCACTGCATTGGCAAAATAACCCTCATAAGGCAGTGCGTAGCGTATGTCCTTCTACATTATTCCGGTCAGCGCAGTAAAATAGTACGTTAAACCCCATTTCATTACATCTTATTCATTACAAGCTAGAATGCATGTTTTACATGGCTAAGAATATTTTTCGTGAAAGTCGTTGTGACTCCTCTTTACAACATGACCTAGCCACTTTAAGTATTAAACTAATCTATCCTTGAGGTACAAGAGATAAAAGCATGTGAAATATCCGTCTATTGTCAGAAATAACGTGTAAGAATTTTATCTCTAAAGGTAACACTGAATGAGTTGCCTGGAGTTTATTGGTAGATGTTATCATCCTTGAATCTAGACACATCAAAGATTTAATCTTAAAGACAAATACAAAACTCTATTTTAGAACGGCGTGTTAAGAAATCAGAATCGGAAATTTGATGTGTTGGTTTATTTTGCAAAGTTGTTATCTACATTAACATGTACCGCCCTACTATGGATCAGGTACTGAATATGACGTCATTGCAGCCATATTGGAATTGTGACATAATATCAAAAATGGAAGTTTCTCTTCATCGATGAGCAATTTTCAAAGGAAAAAATAGCATGCCACGTTGATCGTACATGAATTGGCGGAGCAAGCATACCCTTGTCGAAGAGCTTCGCCCCCAAGAACAACAAGAGGACAAGAGCAACACGAATAACTAGAACAATAAGAACAACAGAACGACAAGAACAAGACGACAAGCACAACAAGAGCAACACAACGACAAGAGTAACAAGGTGACACGAACAAGAGCGACAAGAACAAGAAGAACGACAAGACAAGAGCAACAAGAACAACATGACGACAAGAGTAACACGAAGAACAACAAGAACAAGCGGCGGTTGGGAACAAGTTCCTCGTACAAAAATATAAGGTTTGTGGATAACGTCAGTTCCGGGATTTGTAAACAAAACACGAAACTAAAATATATCGGAGTCTCGCTATCTCGAACCTAATAAACTAATAGTATCTGACCTCTATATTTAATTTGTTATTTATAACAATTAGAGTTTTTTCCCTTTGATTTAAATCCCAGACAAGATAATTGCCCAAGTTATTATATCATCTTTTAACAACACCTTTAATAGAAACACCAATATTATATAATATTACCACATCAAAATAAAACGGGTTAGATCACTCGACCACTTCTCTGGTTTCAATTCCCTGGTTGTACGAGACAATGAGTAGCGTCTCCTGTACAACCTCGTGGGTTTTCATCGGGTTCTCCGGTTTCCTCCCACTGCTAAAGATCCCTACGCGCATTCGAATTATTGAAATAAAATTGAACCATATGTTAGTCCCGAAATGACCTAGTTTGATAGATCTCCGCGGTCTTTGATAGATTCTTACGGTCTTTGATAGATCCCTACAGTCTTTGATAAATCCCTACGGTCTTTGCTAGATCCCTACAGTCGTTGTTGTTTTGACATTTGTTTTTGTCAAACGAACCTGTTTTATATCAGCACTAAAAATACATCAGATTTTTTAAGTCAAGTATAGAAATTCTTTGAAGGAGCTTTAAGTGTGTTGTGAATCATTTTTGAAATATCCCGTTTATGATTAGCTAACACACACCCCTCTCTCTCTCTCTCTCTCTCTCTCTCGATCTCGACCACTTCTCCTTAAACAGATCGCATCATGAAGATTACATACTGTACATAATGATATAACACCTTTTTTTTAAAACACAACACTGCGCCAAGAACTATTTGTGTTTGTATGCTTCCTCTAGAGTATTATTGTAGAAACTACGACAAATATTCCTACCGTCAAAAAATATAAAAAAAACTATCACATAACATACATATCTTGTCTCAGGTAGAATATAAATACATGTGGGCACCTTGTGGTTTAATGAATACGTCGACATCAGATAGTGTTCCAGACAATCAGTGGCGTACGCATGATATTTGGTTGGGAGGGGCGCGGGGGTTAAAATAGGTGTGGCAATAATGATTTGTGACGTTTATCTGATGTAGCGGAATATAACATTCATTTTCCGACAAAAACAAAGCTCAGTCAAATTTACACGTTTCATAGAATCAGAATGGTATACAATCTGATTACAATACAGATCTATATTTCATTTCGTTTTTTATACTTTCGATGGCCTCTACTACATGAAGATCTGACAAGTTATAGCCATAGGTCACGTCAGGGGTCAAACGACCGACTTATGACCCTATGACGTCAGACATTTGATTAACCAATCAGCATTGATGTTACTAGTGGATTACCCACAGTTCCGTAAAAAACACGCCTAAAACTCGCCGTAAACAGACCGTTTCATTGGCTTATCCCTGACACCATTCAGAACACGTGTTAAATAACAACTCTTCCAGATCCAAGTGTAGTAAAGACAAGTAAAACGAAATTTTGAACTATAAAAACGAAACGAAATAGGATCTGTGTTTTAACCAGATTGAATGGTATAATACTAGTATTTCAGGAGGAGGGGAGGGGAGAGGGCGGGCGAAGGTTCAAGCCACTGACAACAATGTTCACATAATGGAAATACAAGTGGTTTCCACATTCGTCGATAAAGCTAGATAATCCAAACTTGGTTATATGGATAACAGCCGGCTAGGATGTGGTGGGGTTCGGGGGACGGGGGTGGGAGGTAAAATAAAGATGTTGCCTAAATTGTTTACAACGAAATATTAATGAATAGGATACTTACGTCTAGTGCAAGCGATTCCTGATTGGTCAGAATAAAAACCGGAAATACATTGACACGTGCCCTCTTGACATTTAGAATTTGTGACGTAATTCTGACAAGGACAGCAGTGAGCATCATTACATGTAGTATTTATACGTTTAGCTGAAATAGTAATATTAGTTAGATTCATTACATTTTTATAATACCAATCTCTTTGAATTAAATGGTTTTAAAATGATCGAAAATTGTATATTGAATGATTGAAACAGAGATGAAAGCCTTTGAGAGAGAGAGAGAGAGAGAGAGAGAGAGAGAGAGAGAGAGAATAGTCTTTAGAGATATGAGGAAACCGATGTACCTTGAGCAAGGCCCGTGTCGAACCCGTGTATCGCATAGATGACAGGTCTTATAACCTAACAAATGATCAATTTTCATATTATTTAATAAACTGGTATCTTTATTATGTGTGCCAGATCATTACGACCATAATGTATGACAGTTTATCAATACTGTATAGACAGTAAATTAGAACGAGAGAGAACCAGTTAATATTATTTAATAAACTTTAACTTGGATTAATTTCATAAACTAAATTCTTCATTACGACAATAATATATGACAGTTTATCAATATTAGGCGGTAGACTGTAGATTACATATAGATTTCTTATCGATAGATTTTATAAAGGGCCAATAGCTGCAATAAACAATCTATAAATACCGTCTATGTGGTATTATATAAAGCTGATATAATACAGTCTATATTCCGTATTACATGTTTCTATAGTTTTATATACAGTTGAAATAAAACAGTCTATATTCCGTATTACATGTCTCTATATATATGTGCAATAAACAGTCTGTATTCCGTATTACATGTCTCTATGTATAGCTCTATATTCCGTATTACATGTCTCTATGTATAGCGCTATATTCCGCAATACATGTCTCTATGGTTTTATATACAGTAGAAATGATACAGTTTATATTCCGTATTACATGTCTGCGCAGATGTGAGTTTCATAATGGCGGATCAGTTCAAACGAATCTTGTTTGTGTTATTGTTATCTAAATTCTACATGACAATAGTGTTGGATTATTATAAATTTGTGGCAAGAAATGATTCCTTCTGGCGAACAAAGAAGAATCATGGTAAAAAAATAGACGGTAAGGATTCCAAAATAGCCTTAGAACCGGAATGGGTAAAAAGCCTTCTTCTCGCCTTATTTTCATATTAGTAGTGTTTAGGATCAGGCAGTAACGGATAGACAGAGTCTAATAAGAATCCGTTACTAAAGTAACTATGAATGCCCATGACTCCAATTATAAATAATGATTATAATATGAACATATTACCTTCATCAGAGCCATCACCACAATCATCAACTGAATCTAAAACCCAAGTACTGCTCACACATTTACCACTGCTACAAGAAAACGCTCCTAATTTACACGGTTTTGATACTGAAAATAAAATAATTAGTAACAATAAAATAAAACCAAGTACGAACAATCCAAACCATAAGACAGAATTCGAAGTCCTAAAAATCGTTATAGGCAAAATAGTGTATTAAAGCAAAATAGTGTAATCAGCAAATGGACTGCTCCTTGTGTATAAAATACACGACAAACAGTGGTAACAGGTGTCCGGAAGAGTAAGCTTACCCTGCCTGACGCCACACCCGCCATAGCTGCATCCAAACTATTAGGCGAACAATGTGATAAATATATTGTCTTGCAATTATACATGGCATAGTGAAATTATACATGGTTTTGATACTGAAAACAAAATAATTAGTAACAATGTGATAAATGTATTGTCTAGCAATTATACATGGAATAATGCATTATGTAAGATTTAGATAAAGAGATGGTCGTTCTTGCTATAATAGTTCAAACAGTGGTAATGAAAATTGACTATATTTAGAACTTTAGTCAAATTAGTTTATGCTAGGTTCCCATTGTCGTACGATGCATTACAATTGGATTGTCTCTATTGAGTCGACGATCTGGTATGTGAAAATACGTTCGGATACGTTTCTATACGATCAACACGATTGCTACGATTGGGCACAATATATGATAAGACATGATAGGATCACCACGATCACTCTACGGTTAAAACCAAGATTTCAATCGCAGCACATGAATCGTGATAGTAGGAACCTAACATTATTATGAACAAGTTAGGAATGTTTGGAGTTTCAAAACGTTGGTCTCGACTGGCAAGTACCATTAGTAATGATGCAAGTCAGAATAACATGTGGTCACTAATCAGTTTTAATTAATACAGTGTGCTTAATATGCATCTTGAATTAAAAAATAAAGATAACAGTTTAAGCACCGTAACATGCAATCGTCATGAACAATACCCATTTTGTATCTTTTTAGGGCATCACTTGCTGTATATACACGTTATTTTTGTAGCCTACCAATTTAAGAATTAGAGTTTTCAAACCTTGTTTTTGAGAAGTTGTCGCGGTTTATAAGATTCGATAGGTTTGTAAATAACCACCATATTATGATCTGTTTTAACTCTATGCAAAGACTCGAGGTAACTGGTTTTTATAAAAGGGAACGAAACCTGAACTGTAAAAAATGAATTTGCGCATGACTTGATAATCGGAAGTCTTAGCCAATCCAGGAATAGTTTTAGAGATAATATCCGATTAACACGAAGGCTTTCGAGATATTTTTACAACAATCGTCTGTAGAACGTGATTATATAACAGATTTAATTTTTTTTTCAGAGAAATTCGATGTTATATAAAATGTTAAATCCATGCTTGAGCTGTAGACAGATTCAATGTATATGTTAACACAGTTTTTAAAACCAGATAGTTTATTGAAGCAGAGAAAGAAAACAATGGCTGTATTAAGTTAAAATGTTGAAAGGATTTATTGAACGAGATAAAACAGATATTAGCCGAGACAAGTATGGTCGAATGCTTCATTCCAAGATACAAAAGTAATAATTGAAGATTTTAGATGAAGTCGAGCAAATTCTTTCCACGCCGTTAATTGAAATCAAAATGAGTAATTCTTTTAAACGTCTCTGCGCAGACTCTGGAACATGAAATTAGACGAATTGATAGTAATGATATTTTTTTTTATTTCGATAAGCTTCGTAAATGCAACTACGTTACTGTACTCCCCCACTCATACACAGGCGCCTGTAACGTCGAAATTATTTTAAAAATAACACCAAACTATGTCTAAGTATATGTCTAAAATCTGTTACGTCCAGGTTTGTAAGCGAGATAATAAAATAAATGGTCTGATTCCAATTTCTAACTCAGGGGAAAATAACTCGTCTGATATAAATGCAGCACCGTTTTCTATACTCCCCCACCCATATGCCCACTTACACTACGAGCCTCATTATATAATGTATACTAATAACGTATTATATCTACTGAAAATAAATCGGTTTTAGACGAGTTAGAGATTGGAATCAGACCAGTTATTTGATGATCTCGCTTATGAACATCGACGTAACAGACTTTAGGCATATACTTAGTCATTTTCAAAATATTTTCCACGTTACAGACGCCTGTGCATCAGACCGCGGATGGCGGGTGCCCCCCCCCTCCCCCAGCCCCCATCAATTGCGTCAAATAATGAAAGTGTTATTTAGTGTTTAATATGCTTACCTTCATCTGAGTTGTCGCCACAATCATCAACGCCATTTTGAAACATATCACGTAGTAAACAATTACCGTTAGCGCACTGTAACTGTGCCTTAGTACAAAATGGTCCGGCTGCAAAAAAAGGGAAAAAACTGAAGTTATTATATTCGCATAACATCGCTTTAAATAAAACCAAAGCTGCTTTTAAGAAAAACATGTTGGGTCGTTAAAGCACTAGACTCAAGACAAGAACTGCGAGAACCTTAACTGATTCGATGCCAGAGTCAAGCTGCGTAAACCCGAAAGACGCACAACTTTCTAGGTTTGAACAGCCACAGTAATTCAGTGAGTGAGTTATTGGCTCACTAACCAAGATCGCCCCCCCTCTCTCTCTCTCCCTCTCTCTCTCTCTCCCTCTCTCCTCTCTCTCTCTCACTCTCCCTCTCTCCTTTCTCTCTCTCCCTCTCTCTCTCTCTCTCTCCCTCTCTCTCTCCCTCCCTCTCTCTCTCTCTCTCTCTCTCCCTCTCCCTCTCTCTCCCTCTCTCTCTCTCCCCCCTCTCTCTCTCTCTCTCTCTCTCTCTCTCCCTCTCTCTCAAGAATTGAGAACCTTAACTTATTTGACGACTAGTCGCGCTGCGTAAACCCGATAGACGCTTTCTGGGCATTATAAGGTTTGAGCAGCCACCGTGGCTCAGTGGGTAAGTTACTGACTCACTAAACAAGAGATCTCTCTCTTTTCCCCTCTCGCTCATAGGCATGGTGGAGTCATTCAGCAATAATAGGTCAACCCAAACTACTGTACCATCAACAACAATACATTAATATTTAAAGCAGGTAAAATGAAATGAATGCTAAGACAGTTCAGAGAGATATTACTGTCGAACAAACAGTCTGGAGTGAGTTAACGTGTAAAACTTACTTTCGTCGTATTTGCCATCAAAACAATCATTGACACCATTTTGTACGTTAGACCAAGGTATACACGTACCATTAGGACACCTGTATTCATCAACATTACAGTAACAGGAAACTGAAATATAAAATGATATAAGTTAAATTACAGAACGTAATGATAAATTGATATTGTGTAATTACTGTGCGTAATGATAAATTGATATTGTATAATAACATGGGCTCATGGCTAATTGGAGAACGTAATGGCATATTGAGATCTATGTAATTACAGAACGTAATGATAAAATTATATATTGTGTAATTACAGAACGTAATGATGAAATGATATATTGTGTAATTACAGAACGTAATGATAAAATGATATATGTGTAATTACGGAACGTAATGATAAAATGATATATTGTATAATTACAGAACGTAATGATGAAATGATATATTGTGTAATTACAGAACTTAATGGTGAAATGATATCTTGTGTAATTACAGAACTCAATGGTGAAATATCATATCTGTGTAATTATCCCAGGTGGTACAGAAATGTAGGACGTTAAACCCCATTCCATTTGATGTTAGCCGAAAGGATATTTCAGATTTCCAAATCAGAGCGGGGGGTTGGATGGACGAATGGTTAGCACGTGCGCGCTGTATCATAAAGCCTGTCATTAAGTCAACTGGTGTGGTTTCGAATCCCTGTTTGTACGTGACAAGGAGTAGGGTCGCCTGTCCAACCTCATGGGTTTTCTCCGGGTCCTGGGGTTTCCTCCCACTGCTAAAGACCCCTACGCGCAAGCGAATTATTGAAATAAAATTAAACCATATGTTAGTCCCGAAATGACCTAGTTTGTGTCGAGTGGACGTTAAACCCCATTTCTCTCTCTCTCTCTCCAAATCAGAGCAGACATACGGTTAAAGACAATCGTAAATCTTTTACCATTTACAGATTGATAGTGTATGTATTGTACAAGTTATTACATAGCATATATTGCCATAGGGGGATATAGAATCACAGTTCAATAAAAAACAAAATCCGAGACAGTCGATGAATTAATTCATATTTTCCTTGATCAAAACTCATTATTAGTGATGAGGCGATGTGTGTGAAAATATGAGATATTTTCCAATATCCTTTTTGTATTAATGAAAGTATTAAATTGAGGAGATTTGTATGAGTTTATTGTGAGACGAGAGAAAGAATCCCCACCCTACTGACTTCCAGACTTTACTTTACAGATTTACAGAAGAAAACGAGAAAAGACAAATACGGCATGTTGCAAATTAACATGGATATGTTAAGACAATGTAAACAAGGAGAAATGGCGGGTTTTAGTATCATTATGAAATAGAATATAATTCTTTGGAGATTAATACAGACTTCAATTGTTCGAAACTATTAGCAGCATTATAAATGATACAAATATTAGTTTCAAAATTATTTTAGAGGGAGATGAAATCTTATCATTGGAATTAAATATCAAATTAACTAAAGCTGTTCACCATTTCATCAAACAACGTCAATAGAAATGAAATGAGGTTTAACGTCCTACTGTTCTGCTCCGATGCTGGGCTAATGAAGACGGGGATACGCCATACAGTGTGCTATAAGGGAAATTTTGCCCGGGCAGCGGCACTATCGCCTATCGAATTCCAACTGCCAAGGGATCTTTTACGTGCATTCCAATGTATACACGGGACCTCGCTTTTTCGTCTCATCCGAAGGACTAGACAGCTGCCCTTGTCAGGCCCTCCGTCCTGCATCACTGACAAGGGGGAATCACGCCGGAAAATCTGGATGAACTTTCTTGGTCGATGCAGGGATCGAACACCCGACCTCCAGGCTAGCGAGCCAGCGTCTTATCCACTTAACCACGTGATCCCTTCCAAAGTCAATAGTCAATATTTCTGCAAAATGTACTTCCACACACCTTCTGTGTGTATATATATTTATAAAATCTATTGTTTCTACACACTTTAAAGGAGCTAAATCGTTAATATTTGGGAGCTGGAAATTGACACAAATGGGTCGCAACGAATATAATAATACGCCTGCGGACACAGACAAACCTGTGACAAGACAAACCTGGGGACAAGGCAAACCTGGGGACAGGACAAACCTGGGGACAACAAGCCTGTGACAAACCTGGGGACAAGACAAATTTGGGGACAAGACAAACCTGCGGACACAGACATTGCAAGAAATAAACAACAAATATCAAAGCAATTGAATGGATCAGAGGGCCAACTGTATTTGTCAACTGTGCTGTACAACAAGATAGGAAGAAAGTGTGCCGAACACGTTTCTTGTTCCGGGTTATATAGTTTATGAACGAGATGAATTGACGCCTGTACAAACCGTATGACTATCCACACGCCATTTGCGCTGTAATTTATTTTTTTTAGACCTCCCCTTTTTTTTTTAATTAAATTAAAAAAAAACAAACGCTAGTATTACGAGTCTTGTTATTATCAGTTACTTTGCTGCGGGCAGTCTTCTATATTTTAATTGGACAACCATATTGGAGTCTGTAGTTTGGTCACAAATTAGTTTGATGACAAATTAGACCCAGACCAAATGTATTTCTTTTTTACTTAAATGTACATAATGTAATCTTTAGATAAAGAGCTAGCCGTTCTTGTTATAATGGTCCCACAATAGATAATGCAAAATGAATATATTGAAATTTTCAGTTAAATTCCTTTATTCTGAGCGAAGTTATCACTGTTTGTAGTTTTGACAAGATGTGTGCATTGATTGTTTATTATCGTAACCACGGTGCTGGTTATTCGAGGCTTATCCGAACTCTTCTAATCTACTTAAAATCGGAGCCATGAAATAAAATGAAATGGGGTTTAATGTCTGCATCCAGAAGATAGTTATATACGCCATGCAGTATGGTATGATGGACACTGTTTTTCGAACTCCAACTGTCAAGGATTCTGTTACATGCAAGCCAATGTCTACAAGGGTTATTGTCCCATCCGAAGCATTAGACACCTTTGCATGCCAGTCCCACCATCCGACACCAGGTTAGAGTAACCTAAGGACTTCTGTCGGTCAACACAAGAAATACACTTAGGTGTGACAGTTTTGTCTGGAAGTGGAATTGTTTTAAAGTTGAAAAACATTTTCCTATATTTGCCTGGCTTTTGTCTGTGTACGATAGAGACATGTAATATAGGATATAGGCTGTTTATTGCAGCTGTATATAAAACATAGAGACATGTAATACGGAATATAGACTAGTTTATCTCAGCTGTATAAAAACTATATAGACATGTAATACAGTATTTATAGACTGGTTTATTTCAGCTGTATATAAAACTATAGAAACATGTAATACGGAATATAGACTGTATTATATCAGCTTTATATAATACCACATTGACGGTATTTATAGACTGTATTATATCAGCTTTATATAATACCACATAGACGGTATTTATAGATTGTTTATTGCCGCTATTGGCCCTATATAAAATCTATCGATAACAAATCTATATGTAATCTACAGTTTACCGCCTAGTATTGATAAACTGTCATATATTATTGTCGTAATGAAGAATTTAGTTTATGAAATTAATCCAAGTTAAAGTTTATTAAATTATATTAACTGGCTCTCTCTTTCTCTCGTTCTAATTTACTGTCTGTATAGTATTGATAAACTGTCATACATTATGGTCGTAATGATCTGGCACACATAATAAAGATACCAGTTTATTAAATAATATGAAAATTGATCATTTGTTAGTTAATAAGACCTGTCATCTATGCGATACACGGGTTCGACACGGGCCTTGCTCAAGGTACATGGGTTTACTCGCACTTCTAAAGACCCTCCTCTCTCTTTCTCTCTCTCTCTCTTTCTCTCTCTCACTCTCTCTCTCTCTCTCTCTCTCCCTCTGGGGATTGGATGGCCGCATGGTTATCGTGTGCGCGCTGTATTATAAGGTCTGTCATTGAGTCAACTGGCGTGGTTTCGATTCCTCGGTTGTACGTGACAAGGAGTAGGGTCGCTTGTCCAATCTCTTGGGTTTCCTCCCGCTGCTAAAGACACCTACGCACAAGCGAATTATTGAAATAAAATTGAATCACATGGGTCGAGTGGACGTTACCCCCCTCTCTCTCTCCCCCCCTCTCTCTCTCTCTCGCTCTCTCTCTCTCTCCCCACTCCCCTATTGGTTTATAATTTGTTTATAATTTAAAAATCATTTGGTCTGTCTCTACCACGTTTAAGCATTAATGGAAATGTTCTCCAATTATTTTTAATAACCAAAATGTCAGCTCAATATAGAATTTAATTAAATTAATTCCGGAGAGAAGAGTATTAGAGTAGTTGCTTTGAAATTAAGAAAGGTTCATCAGATTAGGTTTCCTGGGCAGACAAAATGTCAATTACATCATTTAGTTTCTCTAAGAGATATCATTCCGATGTTTTAATATGACTGGGGTATTTAGATGTTTCAAATAACAGCCTGGCGATTTTGTGTTTTATGCCAGGAAAAGGCTGGTTTGTTTAAAGTTTTTATTACATATGTCAATCTTAACAAGACTGAGATGTCTGGAATTCAGAATTTCAGGAAATGCTTTTAATATGTACAGCCTTATCTCATTCAGATTGTTCAAGATCTTTGAGCATCATATAACTTTAAATACAAGACAAAACATTGCTGGGTTCCTCTTTTGTGTATGGCAGCTAACTTATGGCAGATGGAGGAGAGAGAGAGAGAGAGAGAGAGAGAGAGAGAGAGAGAGAGTTTATCGTCCACTCGACACGAACTAGGTGATTTCGGGACCAACACATGGTTCAATTTTATTTCAATAATTGGCTTGCTCGTAGGGGTTTTTAGCAGTGGGAGGAAACCGGAGACCCGGAGAAAACGAACGAGGTTGGATAGGCGACCCTACTACTTGTCACTACAATCAGGGAATCGAATCCCAGCCAGTTAACTCAATGACAAACCGTATGATACAGCTCGCACGTGCTAACCATTCGGTGGTTCACCCCCCCCCCCCCTCTTTTCCCTGGGAGGAGTGCAATAGCTGGGGTAGAGGTTTTAGGTATAAAGCGTGATGAACACTTAAAGATAAATTAGGTAAGATTTAGAGAAAGAGTTGGT